AAAAAAAAAAAGCGGTGTATTGAAATTTCTTATTGTTAATGTATAGTTATTTGTCTATTCCTTTCTTCAATTCTATTAGAATTGATTTATGTATTTGAGACTTTCATTGAGCACATATGCCTTCTTGTTGTTGTTGTTATATGCCGTCAAGTTGGTTCCGACCCATAGCGACCCTGTATAGGGTTTCTGAGAGGCAGCTGATGAACTTGAACCACCAACCTTGCAGTTCAAACGGCATTGCAGTCTGACGCATTAATCCACAGTGCCATACCAGGATTCCACATATGCCTTAGGCTAGGTTTTCTAGAGAAGCAAAACCAGTGAAACTAAGAATGTGTATATATAGAGAGAGAAGTTTATTAGCTTACAATTGTGGAGTCCCAGGTTCCCAGCGGGAGAAAGAGAGAGTCCCTCCCACATGTCTAATATAACAGCAACCTTCTGTACCAATTCGCATTTTGAGCAAATACATCCATTTGTCCAGTCCAACAAATTGTAGCAATTGACACTTGCTGACAGTATCAAACATCTTTATCATCATCTTGTCAGGTTCTAGTCAGTTCAACCCTAGCCATCTAAGCTAGGTCAAATGGGTACCAGCTACATATGTGGGAGTTCATATGCACCCTCCTGCACTTCAAACCAGCTGGCACCCTCACTGTCAGCTTTAGTCCCCATGGGTTAGATCAGTGCCCATGGGCTCAGGAGTTCACACTACTCCCTAAACTTTGTGCCACTCAGCCTTCCTATTCTTATTTCAGGATCAATGAGTGCCAATAGAACATGTCCAAATTCAGCCCATGTCTACATTGCTGCATTTCCCCCAATTCCACTCATACATACGCCCAGATAGTTACCAGTGAACATATGATGATGCTCTGGATCCTTTTAATTTTCAGATCGACTACATCTGTGGATGATAAGGAACAGTTTAATAACATCAGTTAGCACATGGCCAAGGCCAAGGCCAGGGCCAACTGTGGAACAGAACAATTGCTTAAATATAAGTTCAAGTTGAAGCTGAAAATTCAAACATCATGAGTGGTGACTAGTGTGGTTGATAGATGCTGTAGAGTAGAATGAAACATGGCTCGGTCCTGTGCCATCCTCAGAATTGTATTGTTTGAGTCCATTGTTGCTGCCACTGTGTTAATCCATCTTGTTGGGAGTCTTCCTCTTTTTTGTTGACCCTCCACTTTCCCAAGTAACTGATTTTCCAAGTCCTTCTCCAGTAACAGATCTTTCCTGACAATATGTCTATAGTATGAGAGAAGTCTCGTCATCCTGGCTTCTAAGGAGCATTCTGGTTATATTTCTTCCAAGGTAAATTTGTGTTTTTTTCTTGCAGTCCTTGGTACTTTCAGTATTTCTTTGCCAACACC